GCATGCACTCAACTCTTAATTGCTGTTGTTCCCATGTCCAACCTGACCAGCAGTGGTAGCACCAGTTAGGGCCCCAGCTAAGGGGCAAATAGTAAACTGCCAAACAAAAATCAAACATTAATAAAGTATAAAAATTCATTTTTATAGTAAAATTACCAACAATACATTTTTGTCGGGAAATTACCAGCAATACATTTTTATAGCAAAATGTCAAGCAATTCATTTTATAATAGAATTATGAACAGTACATTTTATAATAAAATGACCAATAATATGTTTGTAAAAAGACAACCAATATCGCTCTAAAAAAAAAAAGTATAAAAATACATTTTTCTAGTGAAAGCAGAGGAAATGACTCTTATTCTCTTCAAACTTTACTTTTGTGACCTAGTCAGAGGGGGAAAATAGAGCCATGAAATTCACAATTCCATGAATTTAGAGGGAACCAACTAACCACTCAAACAATTGCTACTTCTGCATGGTGGACCCTTCCAAACATCAAGGTGCCAATATGATGGGAGACTCTGGGCAGATTCATGAAAATAATTTATAGTTCAAGCGTAAATCACAAAAAAAAATACACTCACTTCTAAATTTTTTGTGGTCTCTCTTGTGTAATCCTAGAATAAATAAATGCTACTTTTCATGCTGTTTTGTTCTTACTTTGCATGAACATGAATGATCACATTCACCAGATTCCCCATTGGGATTAGAAAAATTTAAGAAATATCATTATCCTTGTCATAAAAACAAAGTTTGAGGGAAATGGCCATTTTTCATACTTTCTAGACATAAACAAATAGGAAATAGCAGTTGCTACCCAAGGACAAAAATCATGTTACACAGTGATCAGTTCTAAATGCTCAGCATTATATGTAAACAAGAAAAGGTATTAATTTTAGTATTTGGCATGACCATATTTGACCCTCCCTTTTTTTCTTCAAACAACGGCTCTGAAGTTAAATATAACCTTCCACATTGAATCATTATCCCCCTAAGACTCAAGCAGAAGTGTATAGGGACCAGTACTGAGAAATGTGAGAAAAGAAGACATTTTAAATATGTAAAAACAGATGAAACATGCAATAAGCACTTTATTCAAATGAAATATGAACTAAATTTTATTTCACTCTTTGATTGGATGCTCTCTCAATATGGATGTCCCTTCTGCATGCTACTGCTCATGACTAGGTGTGGTCGTAGGATCACTGTACAGCTGAGCATCTGATCAGTTCTGCCCACATGTCTCAATTACATGTCAAAGTCTGAGTTTTTCTGGATGACCTTCCAGTTCACTCAATGACATTGTCAGCCCATTTTTTTCTCTGCCTCATCTTCTTTTGCCGACGTTAATACTTTTTAAGATAACAGTGGAAACATTGTTGGCTCTTATGTGTTTATACTATTTCAACTTTCTCTTCTTGACTGTGGATATATATGGACTTTCAATTTTATTTCTTGATTGTTGGTGTCTTGCACTGCATCATTTGTGATGCAGTCTATGTAGGAAATACCAAGTGTGGTTCTGTAGCATCTCTTTTCTAATGCTTGGATTCTTTGCTGTAATTCTGCTGCAAATCTCCCAAATTTACAGGTGTACATAAAAAATTGAAAAGTCAATGCATGTAACTGTCTGATCTTTGATTTCAGGCCGATGTTCTTGTTTTTCCAGATGGTTCTTACTTTTATGACAGCTGCCACTTTTTGTGCTGCTCTAGAAATTATTTCTATTCTGGAGCTCTCTTCATGGATAATCGAGCCAAGATATTTGAATTATCTCATGACTTTAAGTTCCTGACCATAGATTTTTATCTTGTTTGAAAGCCTCTTATTATTTGTCTATATTTCTGAGATGAGGTATTGTAATTATTTATACTATTTACATTGTTTAAACTGTTTTCCTCATCTTTGTTGCCATATTCACGATGTTTCAGCCATTGTATGCTCCAGCCTTATTCAGGTAATTGGAATTTTGAAATGAATTCTTTATTTCGTCCACTGAGGTAGATTATTTTAGTTCCACATGCCATACCTCTTCCAGATGTCTCAGTATCAGTTAACTCAACTCTCCAAGTTTTCTGTTCACCTCAACTGTAGCCAGGTATTGAACTCAAAACCCTTTGGGTTAAGTCACTGGATGTATTTTTTGATGACACATGGTCTAGTGGATAAGTGTTAGTTGAATCCAGTGACTTGACCCAAAGAGCTGTGAGTTCAATACCTGGCTACAGGTGCTGATCAGTTCCTCTTTCTTGTCAGCTTGACCATCTATGCCATCAGCAAAGTAGAAGTAAAACAAGAAAAAAAAACTTGGGTGATAAATGAAAAGAGTTAAGGAAGACTTCTTTTTTTTTTTCTCTCTCTCTCTCCTTTAAAAAGTATATCCTATTTCAATGGAACATCAGGACCATGAATTTTGGTTCTTTTGTAAATGTTGCCAAATAATGAGTAGAAAACGGCATTGTTAACTCATGACAGAGTTAACTCCCTTTGCCTAAAGAGTACTTCTTATCTGCCATTTTAACTTGCCAACATTTATGTTACTACCAAATGACTATAGGACTTTGTCAATATTGTTTCATGCTTGGATGAGTTAGACGTAGAAGACAAGTGGTTTTCCAAATATCTAACAAGGTTTGGTAAATAATTAACACTTTCATTTCTTTGTTTTTATAGCATTACTGTCACACTGTTTTGGCTCATTTTGGAAAAAATAGGAATTGCCATTAATTATAAATTATAAAGATGCTGAATTTCTCATAGGTACTGACATTTTAACTTCAATTGGATACTCAGCAATACATTCTAAACTAAACAACACCCCCAACACAACATACATCTACATTAACAGCAGGCAATGTAAGTTTCATAAAAATGTATTAGTATATCTAAAATATCTAGCAGAAGTGTTAATGCAAAAGAAGTCTTCATATTGGTAAAACTTGATTAACAAAATAAATTGCCAATGATGGAATAATTAAACTTTGTAAATGGTATTATCTGTCTATATTTCTGAGATGAGGTATTATGTACACTATTTACATTATTCGGACTATTGTCTTCATATTTGTCGCCATATTTATTACGCTCCGGCCTTCTTCAGCTGGTTGGAATGTCAGACTGAACCCTTTATTTCGCTCACTGTGATAGACTGTTTTAGTTTCACGTGCCATGTTTAATGGATGTCAGTTATCAGTTATCTCCTGTTAATTCCCCTCTCCAAGTTCTCCACCACCATAACCAGCTATTGAACTCACACTTTGGGTCCTGTCTTTGTGTCACTAATGCCTTTATCCACTGTGCCATGTGTCCTTGAGGACATCTGTGTATGAATTACTTGGTATTATGAACCTAATGTCTTCAGCAACCATTTTTTACCAGAGCTCATATTGCAATTTTTGTTGTTATTATCGCTTTTCTCTGGCACTCCTTATTACTGGTTTCCATATTGTATTCATTTCTATGCTTGGTCGGCTCAGGAGATTTTTGTGGCCTAGCATATGTGCTGATTCCTTAAGTTTACAAATTTTCCAATGGTGTTCCCTGTCTATGATCTCAACCTGATCCCACAGAGGGCAGTGATCTCCCATTTCTCTCCATATGTGGTCAGCCACACCTGATTTTTTCCTCTTCTCCTCGTGTTACAGCTTTCTGGTGTTCTTGAAACCTTACTTTAAGGGGGCAGCCTGTCTCCCCTTATATTTCTTTCTGCAGTTGCATGATCTTTAATCATGTTCTCTTCTATGGCAGGGTCTTACTTGGGGAAAAATATCTACGAAGTGTCATCCAGCTTTTGAAAGTTGTCCTGATGTTATATGGACCGCAGATCCTTTGTATTTTCTCTGATAACCCCTTCACATAAGGCAGGCAGACTGTTTTCTGAGTGTTGTTGTCCTCCTCTTGTACCTGCCTATCCCAGTTTTTTTTTTTTTTTTTTTTTTGGCCGCTGTCATATACCCAGGGTAGTTGTTACATTGTAGGGTACTGCTTATACTGACCAATTCTTTATCTAATGTCTCTGGGTTGCCACTTAATGACTTTTGTAAATGTTACTCAACCTTTAGGAATGTAGATATAAATAAATGCTTGTATATGTTGGTATCATTATTATTTGGTGAATTTTATTAAAAAATAAAGCCAGCCCATTATACTGAGAAATAAATCCAGCCCATTATATTGTGAAATAATCAGTTTTGTTTCTTTCTTTGCATTAAACTTCAAAAGAGAATTCAACAAAATATTCATTGCTGATTATTAGGATCAAGTAACATTTTATTCACATAAATTTTTTCAACTGAATTTAGTTAAAAAAAAAAAATATTTTTGTGGATCTAATTCATACAATATTTTTTATAACTAAGTCTAACATATGTAATGCAGTGGTATTATGTATAGGAAGTAGAATACTCAAACTGTAAAATTGATGGGTTTATGTGAGCAGCATTCCAAAAATTTCCTTTCAAGAAACATGATTTTTACCAAGCAACAGTTGTCATACTGAGATAAAAAAATTGACTTAGAGAAAATTGTTTCAGCTGTAAAAAGTGAAATTCAAGTTTCATTTGACAATGACATTAATTGTGAATTTGTATAAATTCCTTTATCAAAAGGGTTTCATATATGTTTATATGTGAGTGACAAAACCAACTCTGTCATTGTATGTCGATGTTATTGAGGTCCTTGACAATTCAAACTTTTCACTGTGAATAGACTCATTACAAATGAATAGAAAGTGAATTGAGTTCTTATTCTCTATTCACATGCCATTCACTTAATACAATGGAAGATAATTATATTTCAATACATCTTTAACTTTGGTTATGATTAAAATGACATTAGCAAAAATTTCTTTTATTAATCTCCAGAATTGTATGTATTTTACACATAAAGGATTTTCAGTATTCAACAAGTTTAAGCTTGGCTTCTTTAAATAAAATGGAAAAAAAGGTTAAGTGTATAGATTAATTTTAGAGCATAAAAGGCTTACATCCACATTACGTTGAAACACCAACCCTGTATGATTACCAAAGTTAAGCAACATTGGGCTTGGTCAGTACCTAGATGGGTGACCACTTGGGAATACCAGGTACTGTAAGCTTGGATGTACAAGTGATACAATGGATAATGGCTCGGAATTGTTAATCAGTCAAGTTCAAATTCCTATTGAGCCTGTTATATTAACTTACACACAAGATACCCTTTGGAAAAGAATGAATCCACCTCTTGTACTCTCAAACTATGGGTTAATTAGTAAGACTTGTATCACTAAATCTTTTTAATCGCAAAAAAACTTCTTGCCATCTAAAAATATTTTCTGGTTTTAAATAACCTGCAAAGGGTTGATGAGCTGTAGAAAACAAATCAATCAATCAATCAATCAATCAATTAATCAATGAAATACTGATTAGCTACACAGGCATATCTTTTAGATTTATTTACATTCTCTGAAATATAATGTATAAAAATTATAGTCACCACAAAGTGAGGGTTCAGTTTATATCACAATTGTAATAGAGAATTGATCCCTCATTTTATATCTACATTATAATTTCTTGTTGTTTATCAAATTCTAATTAGGTATGAATCTGCCTCTTCCCCCTCCCCAGCTATCGGTTAATTAGTAAGACTTGTATCACAAAGTCATTATTACCTCAAAAAAATTCTTTGAATCTAAAAATACTTTCTGGCTTTAAATAACCTGCAAAGGGTTGATAAGTCATAGAAACTAAATCAACCAATTTAGGTCATCAGACTGCATTATTAATTCTTTGATAGTCATATTTTATAAATTCCACTTCTCTTCAGTGTCAAATTCTATAGTAAAATTCGATGGTAAAAAATACATTTTAAAAGATAGAAATTTTAAATCTTAAAGAGAAAAGAAATAATGTTGGTAGGCAAATTCAACAATTTGTATAAAATTTATTCACTATATTGAGAATCTTCAAATTCTGACTAATTCTGACTATCGTATTCACTCTCAGAAAATTCTAGATGCTTTTCATCTTCAGCACTATCCAAAATGTTATGACATGAAAGACTTGAAAACCATCTCCTCTTTAACTGCATCCTATGACGCACAGACATTAATACCCAGTAGGTAGCTAGTAAGTCTATCCCACAAAAAATCAACTTGCTATGGAAACCACAGCATCATCGCCTGGTATGGTGTTGTTGCAGACCTCACCCTACGGAAAATCTCATGGGTTCAATAACAACTGTTAATGTAAAATGCAGGATATTTTGCTTATCTTCCAAATGCAGAAAATACTTTTAACACATACACACACATATATATATATATATATATATATATATATATATATATATATATATATATATATAAGATTTTTCAGATTAAACTATTGAGTATTGTCTGTTTTCATTAACTTAGTTTTTTCTTGTTAACTACACATAACTTTTTTGCTTCTTTTAGTTTTGTGTTATACAATGAAACAAACAAAACTAAAAAGAAACAAAAAGTTATGTATAGTTAACAAGAAAAAACTGAAGTCAGTGAAAACAGACAGTACTCAATAGTTTAAACCAGAAAGTCTCCCTCGTGTATGTATGTATATATATACACACACTCAAATGGATAAATAAATAAATGTAGATGTAATATATATATATATATATATATATATACACATATAAATGGATAAATAAATAAATATATATATATATATATATATATATATATATATATATATATAATATAAATATATATATATATATATATATATATATATATATATATATATATATATATATATATATATATATATATATATATATATATATATATATATATATATAAAAATGGATATATATATATATATATATATATATATATATATATATATATATATATATATATATATATATATATATATATATATATATATATATATAAAATGGATATATATATATATATATATATATATATATATATATATATATAATAAAAATGGATAAATAAATAAATGTACATGTATATATATATATATATATATATATATATATATATATATATATATACTCAAAATGGATAAATAAATAAATGTACATGTATATATATATATATATATATATATATATATATATATATATAAAAAATGGATAAATAAATAAATGTACATGTAAGTATATATATATATATATATGGATATATATATATATATATATAAATAAATAAAATGGATAAATAAATAAATGTACATAAATAAATATATATATATATATATATATATATATATATATATATATATATATACTCAAAATGGATAAATAAATAAATGTACATGTAAGTATATATATATATATATGGATATATATATATATATATATACTCAAAATGGATAAATAAATAAATGTACATGTATATATATATATATATATATATATATATATATATATATATATATATATATATATATATATATATATAAAAATGGATAAATAAATAAATGTATGTATATATATATATATATATATATTTACTCAAATGGATAAATAAATATATGTACCTGTAAGTGTGTGTGTGTATATGTATATATATATATATATATATATATATATATATATATATATAAAAAAAAAAAAAACAGTCCACAATGTAAATTAACAGACCTAAAATTTATAGTATGAAGAACTCTGAGTATCATGCATGTAGCATTGGTCGAGTACAAATTATATATACATATATATACACACATACGGTGCAATGCATAAATTGTTGCCCAAATTATGCAAAAATGAAAATAACACTAACATTTCATTATAACAGATATATTTACCAAAATTACACGAGAGTAAATTTATTCAATAAAATCACTATTGGCTTCAACCACAGCCACCAGACAACTTTGGAATCTCCTGCAACTCTTCTTGGCGGTCTCCTTGTTTAAGTTGGTGAATACTGTCATAATACTTGCCTTTAGTTCATCTTTGATATTACAAGGAGTGTGTGTGTATAATATATATATATATATATATATATATATATATATATATATATATATATATATAAATAAAAACAGACCATTTTAAGGTTCCATGTAATAAATGATTTCACCACAGCCCTTTTAAAGGACTGCGGATCATCAGACTTTACTTCCAAAGGTTAAAATGAAAAGAAATTTACATATTTTTGGCGGGTCGTATTAAGCATATGTAAATTAACGAAGTGAGGAAGTGAGGGAAGACATGAGTGAGTTAGATGTAATTTAATCTTTCTATTCTTTCATACTTAAAATTACTTGAGGAGGTCCAGACATTGACACATTTAAACGGTTAACTTAATGGAAGTTATATATTGATATAGAAGGGGTAGAGGAGAAAAAAGACATAAAAAGAAAAAGAGAGAAGGAAGTCATGAGAGAAGGTGTCACTAATTTTCTTTGGAAAGAACAGGCTCGAAAAAGACGCTGTTATTTTGTTTTACTTTGAAAGTGTTAATTTGGGGGTTTATAAAGATTATAATGTTTGATATAAATTTGAAAGTCTAAACTGTCTACAAAGAATTTAATTTGATGTTTGTTAGTGATTTAAATTTTCTAAAAATTTTGGGGACTTTCTATGAAATAGTCGATTAGAAAAAATCTTCATACAAATTTCATTAAAAGAATAAAATTTTACTTTAAAATATAAGTTTACTTCTAGTAATCTTTTTTATTTTTTTAAAAATTTTTTATTATTGATTATTAAGTTGACATCTCTATCCGTTTGAATTTTGTTCATGAATTTAACTCGTGACTATTTTTAGCTGGGTAATCTTTTTTACTTAAAGTATGATGATCTAGATGTGAGCAGGTGCTGAGGAGAATATATATATATATATATATATATATATATATATATATATATATATAATATACTCACATTCAGATCATCATACTTTTTTTTTATTCCCTTTCTTCTCTCTGGTGGCAGTAATGAAGATGGCTGTGATGGTTGAGCCTACTCCTGAAGAGTTGTGAGCAGGAGTCACAGATTAGTGTGGGTGGTGGATGCAGCTGAGCAAGCCAAGCCTACCTGACAGCATATCACAAATTCTCTTCATGTTGATGGTTGGACTCAAAAGTCTTGGTCCCTTCTCAGATAGTCCTACACTAAGAAGGCTGATTTGCAGCAACAGTTTCCCAGGTCTCAGTGTCGATGTTAGCCTATGTCAAGGATGTCTTCAACTGATCCTTGAAGTGTCATTATGAGCCTCCACTTGCCAATGGCAAGTTCTCCCAACAGGATGATATATATAACTGTATAACATATAATACGATTTTATTTTAATTTTAGTACAGGTTTCAGAACTTCTATTCCTTTCATAAGTCGAAGATTTTACATTGATTTAATTTTGAAATTCAGATACCACAGTACAATACAAACTTGTACTGGACACTAATTCAAAATTCTTAGGAAGAAGGACATAAAAGAGGAAGGGTTAGTATAACAATTGTTATAATTCTTTTTTATTTTTGCATCCTCAAGACTATCAGATAAGATTTAAATAAGGCTTCCTTTTAGCAAACCAGAGTTCTTCTTTAATAACCAATTTGTATGGTATGTCTTTCCTATCAATGATAGAGAAATAATTAAAATTTCATTTTTGTTTACACTAATTGCTATTTGACAAACATTTGTTAATTGAAGATTTTTAATCCATAATCAGATGTTCCATTGCTGATTTGTAGAAATGAAGAGATGTCTCACCAATATAACTAATTTTACAGTTAGCATATTCAAATTTATATACACATGTTATAGAACCAATTAGTATTTTATCTTTATTTGAAACAAAGAACCAGTTTTGTGACTTGTAGAATTAATCAACAAGTCACTATCCCTATATACACCATTTTATATATGTGTAAAATTTCAGATATAACTAAAAATATAATTATGTAAAAATATATTGTGGAAACTTGCAGAAATTTAAATGAACATATCTATGAGCACACAAAAGATCTTATACTCAACTATATGTCAAATACATTAGTGATATATAAAAATAAATTCAGCCACAACTTCAATCTAAAGAGCACTACACTTGTTGAAAGAGAAAGTAACTTAGATAGAAAATTCTTGAGAATGCTGC